TAAGGACCCCCACCTTCCCCTAAAGCACTTGGGTGTAAGGACCCCCACCTTAACCTAAAGAGCTTCGGTGTAAGGCAACCAGACTTAAGCTAAAGTGTTATTGGTTGCCTGTGCAGGTGGTTTCCTTCACTATTTACTGGAACTGGACCACTTTTATGATTCTTGGGAGGAATGACTCAAACCATCTGTCTTCACAATAGTGTGTCTTATCCTTCCGGTACAGGTGAAATACTGAGTCTCATCCTGGTTCTCCAGTGTTGCACCAGTGAAGCTCCTGTTAGGTGTCTTCTACACATTGGTCTGAGTACTCCTCGCGACATTGGACTGCATATACGACAAAGCTCAGCTTGTGTTGGGCTGTCTAATCCTCAGGATCAACATGTTTCATGGTGCTGTTCCTCTGGGAGAATGAATTTGGACAAACAAGATTGCTTCGCCAGCTCAAGCCTGCAGCCCCCCCAAGCTCAGGCCCAAAACGGTTTCCGCTCACTTGTCTCCAAATACGACATCCTCACAGCTAAGACCCAGCAACACTGAGACAGAAACCTTGATTATAGACAGCCAGACTCAGGCTTAGCAATGTTATACATGCAATCCAATGTGGCAGTAAGTATGCAGACCTACATGCAGAGGAGACTAAAGAACAGCTCAACAAGCACATGGAGAAACACTGGAAAACCAGCCCCTCCTGACAAGACTCAACATCTGAATGATAAGAGACACTCCTTTGAGGACAGTAGGGGCGACATTCTGGATGTTTTCAAGAACCAAAGTCCAGTTTTCTTCTAATGAAGCACTTGTCTTGACCATGACCTGCATGGCACTGTAGCTCTCTCAGCAAGGGCTGTTGGAACATGGCGGTCGAGCCCACTTAGTGTCATCCCATCACTCTCCTCAACACTCATGTGACATCTGAAAGTAACAATACAATAACCGGTTAAACGTGGAGTCCAGCTGCACACCGACAGAAAACAAATCCTGAGTAAAGCCACATTTTCAGGTGCAGAGATTACATGCAAATCAAAGGGAATTCATTTGCTACATTCATCCAAAATGCCCAAAAAGTCAAACCTATCAGCATTACAATATTCAGGTGGTAATACATGCTAGTATAGAACTTTATGTGCACACTGATTTTCTTACCAGTTGGCGTCTGAATGTCTAAGATCCCCTTCTGCTCCTGTTTTTCCTGTTTTAATCTCTCCTTCCTTTCTTTTGCCTTTCTTTCTCTATTTTTCTCTGCTCTTTCTCTCGTCTTTCCCTCTCTTGTTTCATCCTTTTCTCTCTTTGTTTCTCCTCCTTTTCTCGTTGTTCTTTCTCCCTTTTCTCCCACTGCTCTCTTCTCTTTTGCACTTTTTCTCTTGCTTCACTTCTCTTGTTCTGTTTCCAGATTCATTTGCTTTTCTCTCTCTTTGGTCTCCAACTCCTGTCTTTTACTCCCCTCGTTTTCTTGGCTCTCATCCCTTTCTCTGAGCTGCCTCCTGATGGACGAGGCATTAGTGGCCTCCTCAGTTGGAGGGCTCTCACTCCTTTTTTTAAGAATAGAACTCACAGTTAGACATTAATCACCTAGTATGCACTATGTAAAGGGCTTGAAAAACTGGCATTTTAAAAGGCATTAAACGACAAACCTGAGTTTGAGTCCATGAGTTTATTTTACAAATATTTATTGTATTTATTATTTATTTTTAAAGACAAAAACTCTCAAAATGTTAAAAAAAAAATAGTTTGGACATTTTTTAAATATGAGAAAGTCGCTTGTTTTTGCTTATTGAGTCGGTATTTTTGCAGTTATTTGGGGGAAGTATTTAAAGGAGACACTTCCTGACATGTTCGTAGTGATGACAGAACATCAAGGTGAACTCTTCAAAGTTTGTCGGCATCTTTTATGACTAAAAACAATCTGTACAATAAACCTGCTTTTAAATGACTGAAGAACGTTTCTGTAACATATGGAAAAACATGACTGTTATAAAAGAAAATCAAAAAAGAGAAGAAAAACCCATTAAACGGGTCCATTTTTGTTATTTTTGATTTGGGTCTTTTTTTTCTGTTTCAAATGAAAAAATGACGATGAAACTTCAGAAATGCAGACAGACACATAGATCATCATCATATAGATCTGCAGTCGTCAAGCTGTTTAGGGTGATTATTTTGCCACCAGCAGCTCAAAGGTCAAAACATACATCGAATTAAAGTATGTTTGCATGTCAGCAGCCTCAACAGTAAAGTAAAAAAGCCTCAAAAAGCATCAAAAAACACAAAACCTCTCCCTCAGACCAAAAACCATAAAACGATGGGGAAGAAAATCAAAACTGTCATTGAAAACCACATCAAAAGACAAACAACAATTTCTGAAAAAAAGCAAAATGTAATATTTCAATTCCAATGTTTCTGTTTTTTTTTAGTTCAGGTTTTGTTTTCAGCACCAAATTTGACTTTCACTGTTCTGGTCCGGTGCATGAAAACCTTTTTACATTCAAGTACCTGTCAATCAGTCAGTAACTCAGTTTGTTTCCTAACAACATAACTTAACAACATGAACGTAGATGAGTGTCGAACTGGCTCCACCACATTGCTTTTCATGGTTCCAGTGTACAGTTACGTATAGACTGGGTTAGTCAGAGGGAACACACTGTCTTGTATTCAATGTGAAACTATACGGATGCTGTTCTGGTTCTACTGATCTGACTGAGAAATAAACATACTCTCTATTTAAACCCTCCATTATTATCATCTATTAGCCATTTAAATGCACAGTTTGTAATTTCTGCCACTAGGAGTCTCTTAATCAAATCTCTAACCGGAGACAGTTTGATGATGTTGTGAAGCAGCCGGGAATCATGGGAGTTGTTGTTGTGACTCAGGTGGAAATCCTGTTCACAGATGAGGTAACTTATTAATCCTCTGAGCCTGATGTTATTTTTAGGCTAATTTCACTCCCTTTTTAAGCTCTTATCTTAGTCATTATAATGATGAATCACACGTGTGTAGCTTCATTTTTTGACTTTCAGATCAGGCCGGCTGATTCAGATCTGTCACCATTCCATCCAATAATACCTTCAGATTGTTTTTATATTAGCTTTCACATCAAGAAACAGAAATGTTATGTTTTTACATGAATCTGGAATCTGATGATATCACATAGTGGGATATTTTACTTGTGAACCTCGTGTCTAACGGAAATAAATGAGATGATTTTATTCCCTGAAATGTTCACGGACAGTAACCTGCTTTTAGAAGTGACAAACCAGGCATATGTTTCTAGACATTTTAATTTGGAAATATTAGATATTTTAACTTTATTTTCATGCAAAAACATCAAATATTACTTTGATCCACATTCTCAGTTTTTAAACGTTGATGCTTTTGTCATAATAAATTAAAAATCTTTGGGTTTTGAACTGTTGGTCAGAACAAAACCAGCAATCTGAAGACAGAATTGGCAGATTTATTGAAGTGAACGGCTCTAAAGTTGATAACAGAATGACAATATTTCAGTTTTGGGGCGCATATAAAAACAAAATACACATATGACAAAGTGTGATCTAGTAGATCTAGTAAATCATGGGGCATCTGTGTCATATTATTCATCATATTCTTGAACTGTTTTGTGAAAACTTTACCTGCTAATAACTTGTTTTTAGCTTTGGTTTGACCTCCTTTGTCAGAAATTTAACCATCAGTGACATTAAGACACAACTTTGTTCCTACACCCAACAATTCTCATTTAATTGGCAAAAATCAACCCGTGTCAACAACAATCAACCTTTTTTTTTTACCTATTTTTTTTATCAGTTTTATTTTTCTGCCTTTCTCTGTTTATTTTATTATTATTGTTTTTTCTTTGCAGTTTCAGTGAGAACATCTACATTTAAAAATATAATTAATTATATGCAGAAAGTGAAATTTGTTATTGATCTAAAAGGCTCATTAGCTTCTTCTTTTTTTCCTCTTCTGCTTTTTTTGGCCTTTTGCAGTCATAGTAGGAACAACATCATAAACTGAAATAGAGCTAATCTTATGCATATAGTGTTTTTATTATTATTATTATTATTTTAAAATGTCTCATTGGAGGCTTTTTAAAAATGTCTTTCTTTGCAGTTACAGTAGGACGCCTTCGCCCTCAGTCAGCTGGGGAGCTACAGTAGGAGCAACATTTAAAAATAATATTAATATTATGCATAACAGTGACTCATTGGAGACTTCTTCTGGTTTTACTGGGTCCTAGTGGAAGATGCTGCTTTTCAGGATTTTATTTTTAGTTTGATTATAATAAAAGTCAAGCCTACTGGGATTTATACGTCCTCTACTTTTGTTCACATACTTCTTGAGCTATAACAAGCATTTAAAAAAAAACATGTTTGTTAAAGCTGAGGATCGTGGTTTTGGTGGGCGTGGCTTGGGCTCCACTTAGGTTACGTAATTAAAGAAAAACGTGACGACGTTGGGCAACACTGGCTCATGGTACAAAGTGAGTCACACAGCAGGAAAGCAGCACAACATTTTTCACATTGTGATCACTTTTTCTTTTCTGTTTTTTTTTTCTTTCTTTAACATTTCCTCCCAGTGTCAGAGGAGCTGCTGCGGACGTGAAGCGCTGCCTCGGTGTTGATGGACCTCCGAGGACGAACAGCGAGGACGGATTCAGGAAGTCAACCGTAAAGAAGAAGAAGAAGAAAAAAAAAGGCGAAGAATGTAAACGATGTGCTCCACTGACAGCAACGCGGGGCTGCAGCCGACGTGTGAGTCCGCTGCTTTTTAATCAACCGTCATTAACCGTCGTGTTGTCATCGCAACGCTCCGTAACCAGGCAGCAGCAGGAATGTGTCCGCTTATAAATGTCGTTTCTTTTCCGTCCTCTTCCTCCAGCGTCCGACCCGGCTCTCCTCTTGGAGCTCAAGACCAGGCGTCCCCCGTCCCTGGTGGACCGTGCGGGATGCGAGACGTGGAGCGTGGACTTCTCCCCGGACGGAGCGTGGTTCGCCTGGTCCATGGGTCACGGCATCGTGTGGGTGGTCGCCTGGCCTCTGGACTCCGAGTAGGTTCACCTGGGCATTTAATCCACGCACGGTGCATTCAGGGGCCCCTCGAACACTCTGGTTTCTGTTTTTTGAAAGCCCGTTTGTGGTGACGGAGTAAATGCAACCAGAAAAGTACAAATACTGAAAATATAACCTCATAATTTCTCCTTTTGTTTTTGCTTCACTGTCAAAAATATGCCATTATGACTGTCAGCACCAGTTTCTAGGCTGGCTTTATTGTAGTTGAGTCCAAAATGTACAATATAGATTAATCTATGCATTTAATCCACGGTGCGTTCAGGAGCCCCTCTTGTTTCTGTCTTTCAGAGTGTTTGGTGGCAGAGTGAATAAAACCAAGTGTAAATAGTGAACGTATAACATTATAATCATCCCCTTTATTTTGCTTAACGTGTCCAAAGTATACCATAATGACTGTCAACACCAGTTTCTAGGCTAGTTTTTTTTTGTTATTCAGTTCAAAATGATTGTAAACGTATAATATAGGTTCATCT